CCCGAGTAGTGAAAGCTCTGATTTGTTTGTTTGATGCTTCAGTTCTTTCACTTTTACTGGTACGCTAGTTTTAACGCTGTAAACACTGTAACGTTGCAAGTCAAGGGTTCCCTATTACCATCCTCATTGCCCAATCAATAGCCGAATCGGATCCGGATTTTCGCGAATTAAGACAGTAACTAGGGCAAAGGATGTTCTAAATTTTTGCCGAATTAACTTCCGGATTAAATGTAGGCCAAAGGTTAGACAAGTGAAGTATACCAATCTAGAGAAATTTAAATAGACGTTCTACTTTTTATCAGCGTACGGTTCCTGTAGTTGTTCTTGACGATTTCTATTTATCATCACTTTTATGTTTAAAATGCCCAAAATCATGTTTCGTGTAAGAAACTCACAGTTATCTATGAAAACAAAAGGCTATGCCCTGTCAAAGCACCAAAAAAAAAGACTCACTGATGTTTCTGTGTATGTAAAAATGGATGAAGTTGATGGCAACTTCTGGTATAATCGGAAGTGCAACAGTTTTGAAAATATTTTCATTGAAAAGTTCATGGCCGATAATATAGGTATTCAAATTTTCAACAAAATCCTATGATGATAACTTCGTATTTCTCTAATGAACCAGTTTCGTGAATAACCATGTATAGTCGTATACTCCGCACTAATTGCAAGTAACTCATAATTTCCATTATTTCAGATAATGTTAAACTAAAATTCAGTTTAAATTCCTTTCATGTATAATATTAACAAAATGAAAAAACCTAAAATAGCCAGTTTACAAAGTGTACTTCTTATGAAACATCTACCTTCGTAGTTTCGTTTTTAATAAAAGTATTACCTACGGAAAATGAAACTTGTTAGAGCTAGTTAAATAAGTTATGTTATAACATCAATTTTCCTACCCCTATTTTTAATAGATAACACTGCAGATGAGAAACTAAAAACTTTTTCAGATTACATAACAACGAAGTGAATAAACTGAGAACAAGAGCAAACTTATCTGAATAATGTGAAGTAAAGTTGACTGGACAACAGAAGACATTGCTGATCGATGACTTCATTCTTTTGGAACACAAAAGGCCTTTTACATATTCGGCAAACAATGCCCATGAGCAGGAAATTGAACGGTTTCCCTCATAAATGAACCAAAGAAATGCTGAATATGAGAAGGATAAGGCTGAGGAATATTGAAAGACATTTAACTGAACATAGTCGGCCAATTGACAATGCATTACTTCTGAGATAAGTGGAAGGGTTTTGTAAATCTGAGAGTAAGATTCTTCGGCAAATCTTTGGTTGCCAAACATTTGGCAAATATTTAGCAGAAAACGCGTCATATGAAGCTTTAAATACGAGACAAACAAGGAATATATCGGTCCAAACAAGGAATATATCGGTCAGAAAGCTTTTGAACATCGTATGGAGAACAAATATATCTATGTAAATGTCATTTTGTGTCATTTGTACTTACGACAATATCCGCAGTATTTATCTTCGTTTAAATATTTTGTGTTTCCCAACTATCAGTTGCTTAGTTTTGCGTTACCAAAACCATAATCAGGAAACGTTAGGTACTTGAAAAGTTTTTAAAAGAAGGAAAGAAAATAAACTCAACTGCGAGTTAATAAAATATCAAAAAGACTATGTTTGTGATCAAAAGTTTATTCATGCATAAATTGGTGCTGAAATACAAAGAACAGTCCTTCGACACATTTTTGCAAAAACTCGTATTGACTGATGAAGCTGACATGAAAGTTGAAGAAGAGACGAGCCCAACATCAAAGCTGTTTTTGGCATGAGTTAAGATATGGCATAGTGACGGCCTCACGAGCGTTTGAATTTAGACCATGGTATCCATATGGTTATGGGATCACTGAATCTGAATCCGGTGTCCTTTTGACACGATTAGCCTGGTTTAATGTCAATTCAAGGTCAAATGTAGAAAATCAATTGTCAACAAACTAAATCTATGTATCTATACGTTTTTGGGGTCGCCGAATCCAAATCTGATGTCCGTTTGACTCAATCAGATCTGGGTTGAGGTCAGTTCAAGGTCAAATGTAGAGAATCAATTGAAAACAAAGTAAACTTATATATATACACATTTTTGGGGTCGTTGAATCCGAATCTGATGTCCGTTTGAACTGACCAAGTCTATTAAATACTTTCTAATAGAAAAATATCAATTACATCATCAACATATGAAAGATGCTTATACAAATTTTTTGGTTTTAAACCTAAGTGAAAAATTTGATTGGATTTGAGCAGAGAGAAAGGTTTCACCAAGATATTAAAGAAGGAGGAAATTTGGGTGGCAATGAAGCTATCACTGATATTGGTAGTGATACTAGTGATGAGGAAAATATACCATATCACGTTCTGAAAAAGACAGGAACAATATTACAAAAAAAGTAAATGATGTTCGAGATTTGCGCCTGGCAGAGAATAGAGCAGAGTTCCTAATATCATGGCTAAAAAAAATCTTAAGCAAGCCGGAAAAGTGAAGTTTTACTATCAGTACAGAAATAAGGAATATTTTTCTAACGATGAAGAATTCTCCTTAAGTTACTACAAAGATATTGTTGGATGAATCACTTCAAACATGGATGTTATAAACCTAACGAGTAGAGTGGACTGTTCATTGATTTGTCAAAGAGAAGCAAGAAAGCTATTCTACTGCATAATACAAGTCTGTATGTAGCCATACCTGTAGCACATTGAAACAAGAGTGCTGTAATTTGAGGATAGTCTTACATAGGATCAAATACGAACAACATAAATGGCAAATTTGTGAGAATCATCACAATAATACTGGGCCAACAATCGGTATTCACAAAAACTCCTTGCTTACTTTGATTAAGTTTAGAACTTGAAAGTATTTAGCATACCTGATCGGATCAAATAGACCCCGAATTCGGATTCAGCGACCCCAACGTATAGATATATTGGTTTACTTTGTTGGCAATTGATTTTCTATATTTGACCTTGATCTGACCTTAACTCAGACCTGGTCGGGTTAAAAGAACGCCGGATTCAGATTCAGCAACATCAAAAACGTTTGGATATGTAGGTTTACTTTGTTGGCAATTGATTATCTACATTTGACCTTGAACTGACCTTAACCAAGAGCTAATCGGATTAAACTAATATCGGATTCGTTTTCTGCGACCCCAAAAACGTGTAAATATATCAGTTTACTTTGTTGGCAATTGATTCTCTACATTTGACCTTAAACTAGATCTGAACGAGTCAAACGGACACCGGATTCGGATTCAGCGACCCCAGAAATGTATAGATACGTAGGTTTAGTTTGTAGGCAATTGATTTTCTATATTTGATCTTGAACTGACCTTAGATCAGAGCTAATCGTGTCAAATGGGCACCGGATTCGGATTCAACGACCCCAAAAACATATGAGTACCATGGTCTTGTCTTTCGGACCTGCCACTTTTTTTTTGTGGGGCTGTATAATGGGAGGAAAAATCTCAGACGCATCGGCCATGAAACGCGATATAATGTTGGAGGATGAAGTGAAGAAAACTGTAAGTACCAGTTTGGGGGAAAAAATTTAAAAATGTGGTATAATGCTTTGCAAAAACTATCCCACGATAACAGCATCGCCTGATGGAATCTCTGAAGACAGTATTATTGAAATTAAATATACCGCGAATATGAGGACTTATGTGGAAAAGGGAAAACCGACCCAGAAGTTTTATGTGCAGATGGCAGCTGCAAATGTATTTAACGGGGCATCAAAAGAGCTATTTCGATGTAGCTGGAAAGATAATTGTGTATCCATTATTATAGTACAATTTGAGGGTAAATAAAATGCATATACTATTATGGTAACTTTGTATTTTTTTTTTAACTAATGAATCTTGCAACACAAAATATTAGCACCTTATGTTTAAGATAATGTGTATCCATTATTATAGTACAATTTGAGGGTAAATAAAATGCATATACTATTATGGTAACTTTGTATTTTTATTTAACTAATGAATCTTGCAACACAAAATATTAGCACCTTATGTTTACTCTTGTCAAACATAGATGTGACGTCACGTAGACGCCATGACACCGGCGATCGTTTTTGCGTGAGTCTAGACTTAAAATTAAAATGTCACTATTTTTTTTATTAAACCTTTTATTTTCTACAGAAATAAGATCTTTTTTTGAAATAGTAAATATTTCCGAACATCATAGAACAGTTTTTCAAAATATGTCATCATACCTGAATGTATATGTTGTTGCTCTTACTTTTATGATGGGTACAATTGAAAAACTGAGGGCTGTTGCCCCCAACTTGTCCTCAGAGCTTGCATGTGTCTGGATCCCAAAAAGAGTTACTAGTTTAAAACAAAAATATTTCAATGAAGAACTAGTAGAAATTCGAAAATGTATGTAGCTGGGGTGTCGACAACCTCATCAACATTTTTTTCGAGGAATTCTGGAACTACCGAAACTCTGTCGTAAAAACTGAAGATTAATATTGATATTTACTGTTTCTCTGCCAATTTGCCATTAATTAATATTAGCTATTTACTTTTAAACGACCTCTGTATGTAACTTTTTGTCATAAATATTCACTGAATATCATCGCAGGTAAAATTTTCTGCATTCCAGCTACAAAACTGACCTTGTTAGTTCCGAATTTAATGGTCTTTTATCGACCATAAACTTGTAGGTTTCTATTTTCCATTTTACGCGTCTTTTTTAAGTACTAACATCCACGGCCCTATAAAACACCCATTAGGTCTAATTGCTCTATCCGAAGAACCGCTAAAGCCCCAGCCGACAATTTTACCCATGGCGTCGGCAGAAAGAAGCTTTCACTCGCCGTAATTGCACCACTTACCCATCGGTGTCGGTTCCTCGTCTTCATTGCGACGACAGTTGGGCTGCCGATCTTGGAAAGTCACCTGTGTTCTGCACATGTGCTTCTGAAGGTAGTGCGGTGTGCGAACATGGCCATCTTCGTCGAGGGTGGCGTGCTGGTGACGGTGCTTGTGCTGGTGGTGGTCCTAGGGGTGCGCGACGTGAGGACGTTGCCTAACGAGAGGCAGGCGCATGAACTGATGCTGCTGGATAATCTGGGAAAGAGGGGTGGAGTGTCCGGAAGTGACCAGGAGACCATCGTGGAGATGTTAGGGAGAAGTAGGTCGTTTTTTTTTGGTAACCCTCACAAAATTTAAATACGGACTCTTTTCAATGATCCATAGTTCTTTTTCGTTTGTTTGAACTTTTCAATTATCTGATTTAACTTCAAACAAAAATGTTGATGTGGAGAATGGTTCTAATGCAGACTATATCATTGAAAATATTAAAAAAAAAAACCTATGTAAACAGTTATATGTATTTTCTTCTCCACGAGAATTGCGTTAAACAGTTATGTTATGACTAAGACTTTTAATACTTTCATTTAAAATACCTACAACAGAATTAATGAACAATTATTTTTGAAAGGATAATAAAGTTCGTTCTATCTAGTTATGATATGAAATATCTTAATAATTTGGAGGAGGTTATAGTACAAGTGATTTGTGATATACTTCCTTAATATACCATATTCCGAAAACGCTTAGTTTCCGATCTACAGGGTGTTAAAGTTTGAATAAAAAAATGCAAATTCTAAACGGCGGGTCATAAAACAGACAAGATACCTTTTCTCTTCAAAATTGAACAAGGAATTCAAAAATAATTTTTATTTTAAGAAAAATCAGTGGCGTACCAATTTTTTAATTAAAAATATCCAGAGACGTGCGCGCGCAACTGGTGAAACTGAAAACAACATTTTTATCGTAAAACGTGTATTGTTATAAACTGTCACAGCCTGTAAAATTTCATTAAAATATTCTGAGCGGTTTCCGCAATATTTTTAAATTTGCATTTTTTAACACCCTGTAGATCGGAAACTAAGCGTTTTTGGAATATGGTATATTTAGGAAATATATCACAAATCACTTGTACTATAACCGCGTGCAAGGAATGCATCGACTTACCAAACACCCTGTATATATTTGTATACACATATCTAAATACCATATATCTTACTGTGTACCAAGAGATCGATTACAAAAAATACAAAATTATTGCAACGATTCTTTAGATTTTTTAATTCATTTGTTTTTTATTACTCCTAATGTGAATTATAAAAATAACTGTTGGAATAAACAATAGTTCCGCGTTTAAAAAAAATTAAATTAAAAATACTTAATTTATGATGTTGTTTATATACATCATTAATAATTCAGACTTTGTTGTTTGTAAAAAAATATTTATTAACACTGTCATTCTATTCTATAAATATTTATTCAAAAAGGTAAAATCGAACCTGATGCACCATAAAACTGTTTGGATAATAATAAAATAGTTTGGATATTAGTTAATATGAATCCAAAATTTATATACAGGATGGTCCCGAGGTAAAAGTCCAAAAGTCATGGGTAGATTCCTGAAGCAAAAATATTGCGATTTAACCGAACTTACCTTAGTCCAAAAGTTGATAGTTAAGAAGATACAGAGAGTTAAATGTAAAATATTATTTTAGTTTTTTTCGTTTATTTCTTAATAAATGCAAATATCCACACAAAATTTTGGAGTTTATCCCGTTTATCCACTGTAACTTTTGGACTAAAGTAAGTTCAGTTAAATCGCAATATTTTTGCTTCGGGAATCTATCCATTAATTTTGGCCTATTACTTCGAGACCACCCTGTATATACTAGAACTTATATTATCTGCAACATTATTTCTTCAGGCTATCATTATTATTAATTGAATATCATAGTAGAATTGTTATATATTAATACGTTAAATCTTTATAAAGTAAATATTACAGATTTTAAAGTAAATAAATGTATTTTGATAACAGTTTCAAATGTGGGCTTTGTTTTGTACAACAAATATTATATCGGTATGAATCGAGAAAGAATGTACCATAAAATTTCAACTCAAATAAAGAATAATTTTTGCTATTTGTATTAGAAAGTAACAAGAAACTGTTAATTACATATTGTCTCAAAGATTTATTATTATCTTTATGGTCAATTTGTCGAGTTAATGACTGTCAGGAGAAATGGCATACATTTTAACACACAAATACTTTTAAATATTAGCACTTTTAATCTTAAAAGTAGAAACGTAATATTGGTATGACTTTTTTTGGAAGATCATGAGAGGAATTCGATAATTTATTTAACTGTTAGATTGAACTACTAAGAGTGGAAGATCAAAACGCTGAATTTTTTTCGTATTTTACAACTTGCTGTACTTTTGAACGATAAAAATTTGTGTAAATCTAAACTGTTATCGCAATTTTACTTCATAGTTTTCTTTTTCATGGGAGAAAGGTGTTCTAGACAAAGCCTTAACTTCTAAATTTATATCGAAAGACAGATATCTGAACTTGGTTGGAGTAATAGAAAGAATTCCTTTTAAGACGATTTTTTTCGGCACTCAGGCAAAACTTCCTCTATATAATAGTTTATTTAATATAGGTATTTTAAAAAATAATAAATATTTCTACATGTTGTAGCAGAAAGTCATATAAAATTTATATTCTCTCTGGTTGAGGAATATATAGATAGATTGTCTTATCACTGTTAACTTATAGAGTTGATTCTTACATTTATACTAGTGCTGGCAACTGAAATCGGTTTTTTGAATAGTCGGTTAACCGGTTTCGGATAATTCGGATTTTTATGAAATCCGAAAACCGGTTATTCGGTTATTCGATTCTTCAAATATCCGAAAACCGGTTATTCGGTTATTCGAATCTTCAAATATCCGATTATTCAAATAACCGATTATTCGATGATTTACTTCCTTTTTTTTAGACATCGATTTGTCCGATTGCAATTGACCATTTTTTTTTGGAGATCGATTTCTTCGTAAACAAATTTGACTTCCAGATTTTTGTAGACCTTTTTTTTTAAACAATTTCTCCGGGTTTGTTTTTGTGAAGCACCGATTTTCAGATATCCGGTTTTGGCGATTCAAGTAACGGGTTATTCGAATAACCGGTTTTAGCAACTATTCGACTAACCGGTTGTATCTGAAATCGGTTTTTACGGAACCCCGTTAACCGGTTTCACTTTTTTCCGGTTTTTGCCAGCACTAATTTATACAGGCAATTTATCCCTAATATTTATACCTTCTATTTACAAGTGGAAATAATAAAGAACAACTTTGAACACGAAGTCGTAGAACCGTAAATAACTGACATAATGGGAATAATTCAATAAGTTAACTAATTAATATGTAGGACGCTTTCTCTTACTTTGTTAAACCAGGTAGTTAGTACTAAGGGTAGAAACTTTACTGTTATTGTTAATAAATAGATTCATACTGGATACATAAATTTCCACGGTACATTCTCACTGCCCATCCTATAATACGAGCGCTATAAGAAAACGAAGAGTTTTCGTTTTTAAACGAGGATAGGTATCAAAATTGCTATTAATTAAATTGGTTATGTCACGTAAACTTCAGTTACTACCACAAGGACCCTGCTAGCCCTTAACATAAATATTAAACCCTTTAACAAATTTATACCACTGTAATATAAACCCTCATTATATGTTTGAAAAGTGCAATGAAAAACACTTGGGCCTCGAGAGGATTTGATTTTGCGCATTTAATACTAACTGCTAAATTCCAAATAATTTTACACAGGTATAAAAATATGGAATAAATTGTTTATTTTTATTCATTTCTTAGGACACATCATTTTGCATTTTAAAAAGATACTTTTTCATGTAGAAGAGGTGACTCTTCTACGTTCAATTTTTAGAGAGTGATAATCTGCTTTTTTAAACAGAACTCCTATAATAATACTTTATAAGGTGTAACGTTTACTCTGTCCAATATTTCTGGTGTTAAAGAGAGAATAAAACCAATTGTGTCGATATCAGCGGTCTAAATTTCCGAAAAATTTGGGAAAATTGAAAAAATTCTCTAAATATAATTGAAATTTTGTTAAAATTTAGGTTATAAAAGATTCAAATTTCTATGTTTGCAAATTTAAATAATACAGTATTACATAAAACATAACTTAAAAAAAAATAATCTGACCATTTCCGTTTTTAGATGAATGTAATTTAGAATGACAAAGGGTATACACCGTGTCCACTTAGTGCGCGTAAGTCCATAATATCTAGGTTAATAAAAGATATAACTTAATTTTTTTTCTACAGGGTTGACTACTTTCCCGAGCTGCACAAAATGAAAATATATTTGCATATACAGTGTGTTCAGTTTTTCCTGGGCAGGTACCAACTAAATTATTTTAAATGGAAACCTATATTTTTTATGGCATTATCGAAGTCTACGTGAAAAATTAACGGGACTCTGTGTTATGATCCCCATTAAAATATTGATAGTTTTCGAGATAATCGACTTTTCATTTTTTTTCATATGTTTCCTCACTTCTAGTAGTTAACATAATTATGATTGTATGACAACTAGAAATTATTTTTTTTCAGGAACTGTAGAGTGAATTGAAAAATCTCGATTTTTTCAAATAGAACACCCTGTGTTTTATGATTTCATTAGATGCCTTTCTGTAGACCCTACAATTTTTTAATAGCTTTCCCTATACATAAGTTGCGTAGTTTTTGCAAAAAAAAAAACATTTTTATGTAAAATACCGGATTTGCGCCCGTTCCTTTGTCGGGAATATAGACCGACTTACCCATTTAAAAAAAAACCACGCCTATTGAATGTGGTATTACAAATAGAGATTTAACAATTTGTAGAAACCCGGAAATATTGGGATAACTTTCTTAGTGCGAAAGCTGAAGAAACGCAAAAAAAGACACTTAAATGATTAAAACAGTTTTCCAGATATATTTTGCTTGAAATAAAATAGCATATTTTAATAAAATTGTTAAAAAGATCAGTACAGTTAAAGCACAGGTCAACAGAAGGTATTTTTTTGCAAATAGAATATTTTGTTAATGCTTACTGACTTACCATAATAGTCCGATAAAATCGTTTTTGGAACCGCTGTATACAAGTGTTAATGCATGTTATTTAGAAATCACTGTATCGCAGTTTTTACTAGCTTTTCCACCATACCACTGTTATTGTATTAATATGTCATTTCAATATAGTTTTTATTAGCATTAATCAATACACACACCACAGGCACATTGTTACAGTTAAAATAAAATAAATGATGTCACTTAAACATTTCTTCACTAGTAATTTTCACGATAAAAGTCACGCTTCCGTATTGAAAACTATTCATTTCTTTTATGTAGTAGATTTAACTCGAAGGCAGAGGTTTTGCAGTTTAACGATTTTAATTATAAAATGCCTATTATTGATACATCCTATCTACCTTTACAAAATCCTGTTCTTTGCAAACAAAATTGAAAGAAAAAATATATCAGTTCTTTGCAACTGAAAAAACATGAAAGCAAACTAAAAATTCGAGCTCCGAAAAACACATATTTTGCAAATTTACTTAAGGAAATATGTACAAAAAAATAACCCGTTGTATTTAGAAGGTATAAACCAAACTTTTGTTTTTTTAAATGGAACACGTGTTTGTCATTTTTTTAATTTTGCATTTTTTTTATTACAATGATATATACATATTATAACAGGGTGATCTGTTCATGTTTCAAAAAAAATTGTGTGCAAGTTCCTCATGGAAAAATAATAGGGGTAGTTTTTATTTATTTATTTATTTATTTACAGATTTGGCAACCCAACATATTGATAAACAATACAAGTTACAGGGTGCACTATAGATAAAATATAATAATAACAGTGTGTGTACAGAACTAAAATCAAATAAGAATAACAAGTTACAATAATGCAATATACATAGTAATACAATAAATAAGCAATCAATATTAATAAGAATAAGTAATTACCTAGTTTTGACATAATGATATGATTAAGGGCAAAAGAAACAAAAAACAAAGCACAACAAGAAAAAAGAGAAGATAAAAACCATTCAAGTAAAAACCAAGCAAGCTTGGCGTCTAACCGAGTTGAAGGAGAGGCTGAAAATGTCGATATGATTAAAAAACAAATTATAAATTTTTTGCAACATACTAAAAGGGGAGTTATTTGCAGCATTGGAGGCATATGCAGAGTGATAAAATAAATTTGAGGAGCGCGAAATATATTGTTTAACATTAAATGATAGTGAACTCAAAATGTAGCTGCAGTGAATTTTCCCGGTAAATAATTTATATAAAAAAAGAACATAAGCGATATGTCTTTTGGGTGATAATTTTAACAGTCTATAGTGCTGCAGATTCGAATCATAGCTTAGTGGTAGCAAGTGCCTATTAAATCGATAGTTTAAGTTATAGATAAACTTTTGTTGGACTTTTTCTAAACGTTCGATATATTTAAGATATTGAGGATTCCACACTAAAGTCGCAAACTCAAGATGAGATCGGACCATGGAATTATATAATAAGATTAAGGATCTGGGATCACGAAAGGATTTGGTTACACGTAAAATAAATCCAAGATTGCGCAAAGCCTTACGCACAACATTTTCAACATGAATTTCGAAGGACAGTTTAGAATCCACAGTGACACCCAGATCCCTAATGGAATCCACTTTTTGTAGCTGAGTATTGTTTATCTTATAACTAAAATGAATATTATTTCTTAGACGGGTGAATTTAATGAATTGACATTTATTCTTTAAGACATTAAGAACAATTTGTTAAAATTACAATAATTGGCGAAACGGTCGAGATCAGATTGAATATTCAGACAGTCAGCAATTGATGAAATTCTTGAAAATATTTTCAGATCGTCGGCATAAAGTGCATACTCAGAGTAGCGGAAAGAGGAGCCAATGTCATTAATAAACAAAGAAAAGAGCAAAAGTCCCAAATGAGAACCCTGCGGTATACCTGACGTAACGTGAACAAAATTTGACGTAAGAGTTATTGATAGACACACATTGGCGCCTATTAGTTAAATAGGATTTTATCCATCTTAATAGATTTCCATGTATACCGATATTCTCCAACTTTACGAACAATGTAGGATGGTGTACTTTATCAAAGAAAAGTTCCTCGGTAATAATAGCCTCAAATATCTTAGCAGGTATCGATAGTAATGAAATTGGGCGATAATTAGTTACATCACTCTTACATCCTTCTTTATAAACGGGCACAACACGAGCCTCTTTCCAGGTGCTAGGAAACACACCTTCAGACAGTGACTTATTGAAAATTAAGTAAAGAGGTATTAAGAGCGATGTTTTGCAAGAATTCACAAATATTTCCGGCAGGCCGTCTGGACCCGCACCCTTACTGATGCCAAGTTTATTTAGACGCTTCTCAATTGCAGATGTACTTATATAATCAATTATGCACGTTAAGGGATGTACCATAGATTTTATAACATTAGAGGATGTAGAAGAGGGTTCATAAACACTACCAAAATAAGAAGAGAAAGCGTTGGTGATATTCTCATCATCAGAAAAAACGTTTCCATTAAATGACATTGTATTGGGTAATTTATTATTTTGCCTTTTATTTGCTACAAAATACCAAAATGACTTGCAATTGCTTTTTATGTTATTTTCAGTGTTAGCGACATAATCGCGATAATCCTTCTTAATAGCGAGTCTTACGGCTTTTCTAGCGTTAGAAAAATGTACATAATCCAAATTATTTTGAAACTTTTTCCAACGCCGATGAGTTCACGTAAAGTTTTTTTCTTAGGCGCCCTGTTTTCGAGATACAATGTGTTGAAGTTGGCTTTCCAAATGGTTTTCCTTAATTATCTTTAAATCGGCTAAAGATACAAATGTCAAAATTTGTACACGAGTAAACATCAACTGTGCGTTAAGAATAATGTGCAAACGGTTTCTTTCTGAAAAGCAGTGTCGCCGATACAGGTAATTGGAGGGGTACAATCGGAAAAAAAATAAAAGTAAAAATTTATTATATTTCTAAACGGTTCTGTAAAGTTCTGTAAACTCTAAAGCATACTACAAAAAAAGGTATGCTTGTCGAAATGAAGTTGCATAGAAGAAAATGGGGGACAATTTCAGTATTTACTGTACAGTAGTATTTCGAGTTTGCACATTTATTTAATTAATTACCATAATCTCTTCATTTACATTTTTAAATGTTAGTTTACAAATAACTGAAACTTAAAATAAATTTAATTTTTTTTTTAGTTAATAAAATGTTTTACAATTTAACTGTTTCATGTGATACGTAAGAAATTAAATTATAGTCTTAAATGCAAATACTGTTGGTAGCTAAATGTCTTCAGCTCATTCAATGGTAAGGTCTTCTTTCAATTTAATATTTTGTTAATGTACTTCTTCCGCTTTATGTGAGCAAAAAAATGCAACGTAATTTTTCTCGAAAATGGTACATGCTACCGAAAGAAACACATTATTCTTAACGCACAGTTGATGTTTACTCATGTACAAATTTTGACATTTTTATCTTTAGCCTATTTAAAGAAAATTAAGGAAAACCAATTGGAAAGTAACAACTTCAACACACTGTATCTCGAAAACAAGGCGTTTAAGAAAAAAACTTTATATGAACTACCCCTATTATTTTCCCATGAGGAAATTGCACACAAGTTTTTTTGAAACATGAACGGGACACCCTGTATATTTGCAATGACAATACTTTAGTTTAATTACTGATCCTGCACATAGCCAAGATTGCCAAACAGATTATTAGTTTTATCTATTGAGAACAAAAGTACCTTAACATAAAATGTGTTACCTTCATCCTGATCTAGATAAATGATAGTTATTCCAAATAAGTTTCCTTAATATGCCGTGTTAACAGTATTAACTTCGTTTAATATTTTTTCTCTTAGGTCATACAAATTATCATGTCAGTGCTGTTCTGTTTCAGAACCCTCCATAGAAAAACTACATGGAGATAAATTCGGAACTTCTTCCGGATTATAAAATTATTTCTTTATAAGAAAACTTAAAGTTAAAAAAAAATCCTTTGTTTGGAAAGCGATGAAAATTTAAAACACTTTTTACAATATAGAATTTTTTTTCTTAATAAAATATTTAAATATCTCTTTAACAAGGTTAATAGTGGAAAAGCATAAATACCTATTCACTAGGTTCATTTTTTAAACTTTATCCATTGTAGAGGTTTGGCAAATAAACCAAAATATTTATGCAAACAGTCAAAGCAAGTATATGACATATATGTAAGTTTGCTTTATATCATTGAAATATAACAGTCAAGTAATAATTCAATGAAATCGCAAGAAAATTTGCTAATACTTTGGTTCTTTTTTCCTGAAAACAGAAAAAAAAGAATACATGGTTGTAGAATGTTAATGAATGACCATGTACATAGAAATAACTAATATCCTTTTTGTCTATAGAAACGTGTTGATCTAAATTTGCTTACTCTGTGATCTTTCAGTGATATCCTGTATAACTTCATTAAAATAGAAACAGTTTGCAACGTTTAAGTAACGATCAGACAAGACTTGAATAAATCTGGTGTAATTATGCGAAGTAAAATATATTCAATTTTTTTTAGTGATTCCGCAGTCCTGCCGCTTTCGAGGTGTCAAGTACGAGTGCGGACTGAGCATAAGCTGCGTGTTGGGGGGCGGCCGACCTCTAGACCTTTGCTCCGGAGGGATGATCTGGGCGTGCTGTGTCGACAGAGAGACGTCCCATACACCTACTCACCGTCCTGACGTAGGTGTCCTCAATAATGCTAGTAAGTTTTTAGCCGGTTGCAATATAAAGCCCGACGGGCTTTGTTGTATCAGGAAATTATTCGCGTTTAATTCTAGACAGAATATGATCCCCAGGGAATACTTAATTGCAGTTCATACTGCACCCATGCCAATATTATATGAAATCATCAGTTTGTAACAAATTTTAGATTTTCTCTGCTTAACTGGATATTAACTCCATCTGTGGAAAAATATTTAAAAGCAGATTTAATAAACTTTTCTTCCGAAAACATCAGTTGGAAACTGCTTTTGTAAACAGGTGGTAAATATAACACAGCCACACAAAAAAAAGTCCAAACCCAAGAGAGCCACGTATCATTTTTCCGAACGAATTCGATGTCTGAACACGATCCTATAGTAAAAATTCAGATTTTTTCTTAAATTTTGGCCAAATATATTTGTTCCATAGTAGATATTTTGGCCAGTTTTTACCCAAATAGTGGATTTCCTGAGAAATATTGAGGTCATGTGCAAATTTTACTAAAGGCGACACAAAATACTACGAAAATGATATTAGACCATATTTGTCGAAATATGCCACTTATTGGATGTGAGAGGGGACAAGCTAATTTTTGCTGGAATACCTTCAGTACAACTCACACAATATAAGTGTAGATCCCTAGATCTGGGCGAGGTCCGGAATATTTTCAAAATTGCAAAAATGTTTAAAAAAATTTTAAAAATACCTACCTATTTTATCTGAGTTTTTTACTTATATCTTGGAACCTATGCATTTTGGAAGAATATTAAAGAAGAAAAAGTTTTAGAATTGAATTTTGCACAATATACTGTAAGTTAAAAATGTTTAAATTTATTACCGAAGTTACAAAAAAGCAATAATTGATGAAAAAAAGGCAAAATAATCAAGTTTTTTGGATAATTTTCTTAAAATATTTTAATTGCTCCTTTTTTGAAAAATATTTAAAAAAAATTCGAATTTTCAAAATGTTGCAGTTCAAATAAAGCATCTAGATACTTGAGAAAATTTTTTCACATAGAAAAATTTAAATCGGTTGATTAGGACGGCCACAGTAAATTTTTAAAGTTAATACTCTTTTTTTATTTTTAAACAATTAGATTACATTTATCAGTTTGCAATTTAGTTTCTTTTCAAAAATTATAATTTGGGTAAATTTCACTAATGGCATCGAGTTCAGCGTCACAAAATACTACGAAAATAATATTTGGACAAAATTTAGGAAAAAAATAGCCCACATTTGTACCAGTTTCACCCAAAAATTCCAGTTTTCTTCGAAATTTGTCTTGAAGTTATGAATTTTGACTACAGGATCGTGTTCAGCGCATCGAATTCCTTCGGAAATGATATGTGAGTCTCTTGGGTTTGAATGTATAAATAGACAGAAAATCGCATATTGATATTTTATTTAACTTTTTTTTTGCTATATTCTAGAAACAAAATAGGCCTGTCGATTTAATTAAAATAATTGTATACTGCCAGTTATAATTAAAAATACAGTTAATTAATTGCAAATTAATATAAACACGAATATTTCTAATAAAAATATTTCAAAAATTTGTTAGTTTTTTTGTGTGACAAAGTAATTTTTATGAAAAAAAAACTACTAAATCATTGATTTACATCATAATCTAACTTTAATGTAAACATTAATCTGTCATCAAAAATACTCACTGATGTGTATACACTAGTAGGTAATTTGACATAAAATTGTTTGTAGTAGTTTTGAAAAATATGATGTTTTGAGAAACTCATAGAAAAAAAGAAAAAAACATGTAATATCCAAGTTATAAAATACAACAAATGCCAATTTTATGATTTTAAAATTTTTAAATAATTGTTATTAATAACAGTTATTAGTATTTAGTTATTAATTTTTTAGACAACTAAATCCTTGAGATCCTTGGACTACTGCAGCAGAAAATTATCTAATGTAATAAGGATGAAAATATCTATTAAAATAAAAAAACAGATACAGTTAAAATATTGGTTGAGGAGTGTGAAATTTCAAAGATAAAGAACTACATTAATTAAAGAAAATTATTCGTAAAAGATGTTTATCATTTGACTTACATATATTTTTTACTTCATTCCGCTAAATATACATTTTATATTTTTAAAAATATCTCAAAACGGTTCTCTTCCATCAACGCTCGAGAGAAAAAATACGCTTTATTTATAATCTGTCTTGATGGACTAGTTATTCAATAAACTATTTCTCCTCTCCTCATTTTCACATTAATTAAATATATATTTACATCAAAGTAATAGTTTTGCAACTGGTAGTTTTTCTGTGGGAAAAATTAAATAATTATTTCAGTTACGATATTAATCTTCACACAGGTATTAAGTATACGAAATACTTAGTAGGGCAGCATATCATAAAAATGTTACAGCTCAGGTACACTGATTTTCACATTTTTACTACGTAATACTAGATATTAATAAATATAACCAAAATAATGATATTATTTGTTATATTTTAAAAATTATTAAATACGTTTTTCTAATTCTTAGTAACTGATATACTTGTATAAATATTTATAGTACAGTGTGTTTCCCTGAATTTTGCACAAAACATTTGAAGAAATATAACAAAGTCATGTCATATATCATTTTTATTACTATGTAAATGTTTATATTTAAAGTTCTTGCTAGTGGATTTGGCAAAGTTAAATAAATTAAATATGTGAAATAATTTGTATAAAAGTAAATTCTATTTGTTGCTGCCCATTTCAAAATCGATTTATCTCAAAAACCGTTTATTTTAAAGAAATAAATGAATGAATAAAAATAACATTTTCTGTTTAATGACATAACAAAATTTAAAAAAAATATTGGTTGGGTCCATTCGTTTATGGATACACTGCAATAATAAAAGGCCGGTTTTAACATTAAATCGTAGAACCCTATTTATACCACATTTCGTCAAAATTTTATTAAAATGTACAAGGTGGTTTTAAAGTTAAAATCCAAAACGTAAATCTGTGAGTACCCCATTAGGGTCCATATTTTTCTTAGGAGGAATATTTTACGAAGTTCTAATATTACTATATCCCTCCCGAGAAATGAGTGAATGCCCTGCAGACGAGGTGCAAAATATAGAGAAACACAAGTACAAAACTATTATGTACCTTACATATATGCAGAATGTAAATCGACTTAAATATTGATGCACAGAGTTATTAAAATATTTATAAATCTTTCTGGTTTTTAATTATGTACTTTATTAAGAATTAAGAAGTGAAATATTTTCATAGAATTTTATTTGCAAATTTAATTTTTCCTCTGTCTTATTTTGGATTAACAAAAATGTAATAAATAAGAATACATATTTTATATGAATATTTTTCCATTAAATTTTAGATAGTAATATCAAAATCATTTTACATAATAATTTCTTGTAGTTTTATACAATTTTGTGTCGAATCTATGTAGCTTATCTCCTTGAGGCATTATTCTCATGTATTTTTAACTCAAAATGTAAACTTGTAATTTTCAAAACAAAATCAACTCTTAAATCAGAAACGTATTACTTTCATTTGTTTGCGGGAGCCATATTATTTTTTTTACATTTCAACCACTCTGTCCCTTTATACGAATATTTCCCTGTTTCTAATAGTCTCCGCGAAACTTCCGATTCTCATCTAAAATAGGTTGTACAGGTGATTTATGTGTTCTCTTTTTCTCGTCATTTACTTCCCTGATATTAAAATATTTCAAGGGACAAAATGTAGATTTATGTAAAAGTCTTCTAAAATCAGAAAAATAATTACCACCAATTAATTTGTCCAAAGAACCTATTAATTATTGAAAAACACAATGTTTATCTTTTGCAAAACATAATGTAGGATCACTTTAGAAAGTAATGATGAGAATAATCGAGATATGGTAATCGAATTAGTCGAAATCCTCGAAAACTATTTTTGTATCATTCTCCTTAAACTTCCCTATAGTAATATTAATGCTAACAAATGTATTTTATATTTGAAGTACTTATTACAAAAGCTTCCATTATTTTGTACTTACATTCTCTTATTGAATTTAAAATATGTAGTATAATTGTGGGTTCATATTCGCTGCGGACTAACAATAAGAGCAATAGATAATCTACAGAATTCCAAGTTGAATTCTCTTGTGCAGAAAATACGGTCTCAAATGCTTCCTTGTGAAAACTATTATGCAGTATTGTCCGAATAGTTAGAAAACATTTTATTTTTAAAATTAAAGTTAAAAATGTATGTATTTATGTTTTTGGAGAGCTCATACAAAATGAACATAATGCTGTAAGAAATGTTCAAGTAAAAACTATACATCATCTTATTTTACCGTTTTCAGTCATTCTGAATTTTTTCGAAACAGGAAAATTCTTAAATATGTCTGCTTATTACAAACAACTGACGAATAGTCGACATGAAATGTTAGTTTGTTCTAATTGTTAAAAGAGAATTTTCAGTGATAATATTCCATCTTTAATGTTAGAATATAATTAGCAATGCACCTCTTTGCATACATGATTATTAGGTGAAAATTGAGAAGGACTTATTTTTCGTTAAAAATTGTCCATTATCTGCACTGGCTGTTTTCCACGGTCATAGATATTTGGGAAGAATTTTACATTAAAAATTTGTAACACTTTTTGAAACATGTCACACAGGCTTAAGCAAGAAACATCTGACTTATTTTACGTTACGTTATATAGACCAACTTGTTACAAATACTGATTATTTACTAGTACAGGGTGATTCACTATATTTTGATCCCCCTTTGAACTTGTTTGTTTTAAGTTATAAATAAATGTGAAATATAAAAGTTGCACGATTATTTATGTATTTTTCGAAAATGATAATTAAAAAACAATTGAAGTCCAAACAAAATTGCGGGATTTATTTTTAAGTCACGGTTTTGTTATTTGTTTTTTCTGATCGAATATTGTGACTCCGCAGGACTTTTTACACATCTCAACATTTTATCTCATTTAAATATCTTAACTGCAAAAAAGCA